CGCAATATTTTTAAAGACGTCGCAGCAGCAGCTGGAGAGGGTGTTTGTTCAATCGGTAAATGTCTGTCTGTTTGGCTGTTTGCTGCACGCGCACACATATTTTCGTAACAATTGCAATTACACCGGTAACAATGACATTTGCGCAAAGTTGATGACTTGAGAGAAAATGGTGGAAACACATACATATACAAATATGTATGTATATAACGTAAACTTTACGCACAGCAAGCGTGCTGCAATGTTGAACGCTGAAGTCAGCTTTCAGCGCAAAGAAATCAGCTCTTACCTGACAGGTTGGCTGGTTGGCTTGTTGGCAAGCAGCAGTGCAACTAAAGCGCAGCATAGCGTCTGATTATGAAAAGTTTTAAATGCAATCAGCTCGTCCCAACGCAGCTCAAACTAAACTTGACTCGATGACAGTTGGCTCAGCGTTAATGGGTGTAGTTATTGTGAACTTCACCAACGAAAATGGCTGTAAACTTACATAAATTAAATTTGATTTTCATCGAGTATCGAAAACTTTCACACTTTTGCTATCCTATCATATTTAAATTTTTCCTTTTTGTCCACCTGATCAATGGTATGTAACTGGATGTGTATTTTGCAAGCGATATGTTTTTACTGACAATTTAATATAACAGCAAATAATTAAATCATCTTAGAATAGGAAGGCGAAAGAAGCTTAACGTACTCTGCATATCCTCGTTTAAAGTACGAAACCGCGTAATTGACATTTGCTGCCAAAAATTGGATTTGCTCTCACAAGCTCTTGGCCCAATCCTTATCCATTCGTCCTGAAATATACTGTACTGTACTAGCCAGAAATGTGATTGCTTCATAAAAAAGAGAACCATTTTGAAATATGAATGTTTTTACTTTCTAGAAAATAATTTATGAAACCTCACTTACGCGATTTTGCATTTTGTTGATACGCGGTTTTTTACTTTAAACGACGATATAATATTTGAAATGAATAACTTATTCACACAAACTTTTAACTTATTTATACAAACTTATAAAAGGGATATATGAATGTACAATGTACATATTTACATTCGACACCGATACTAGGACTAAGCTATTTTGGCGACAAACCGTGCAATATCGTATACATACGTAATACCAAACGCATTTGGAAATGTTAAATCAACACTAGGAATGTTAATCCCGAGCTTTTCGGGATTTGTAATTTGCACTAATGGCAATAATAGAAACTTCATTTTCTTGACCAGTATTGGCTATATTTCTTTTTTTTTATTTAATAATCAATATTTTTTTATAAATGTCTAGCTCATTATCCATATAACACCATGCGATAGTAAATTTTACACACAAAAATCAATATATGAGCGAAACCATGGGCCAAATATAGTAAAATTGCGTTTTTAGTTTTTCACTCTGACGTCAGTAATCCAAAAATGATTTACAAAATTCAGTGAAATGCGCTTAGAGAAGAAGTATGAGTATCAAATTAAAGAGGAAATTCTATAGAATTTAATCAGATTAAATTTTTTGGTCCATAAGGACTAGTAAGTATTGAAAATATCCTTTTAAAATTTTAGCTTTGAAATTTCGCACTATTTGCTTTTGAAAAAACTATATGTTAAGGACTTATATAAACTCGATAACATCCCCGAAGTTCGTCCTTCTAACTTTATCAGTTTAAAAATTATCTATTCGTCCTTGTGAATCCAAAAAATTTTAATTTTTTAAATTCTAAGGAAATTTGCTCTTTCATTTGGTACCTATATTTTTATTCTACATTGCATTGAATTTTTGAAATAATTTTTGGAATTAATCATATCTTTGAAATAGCAAAGTTCTTTAAAACAAATCCTGACATCAGACCGAAAATAAAAATGCCACATTAACTAAAAGAAAGTAGGTTTCAAACCCATTTATTTATTATTTATTTTATGGTAGGAGAGATAGAAGCAATTATTTCGATTTAAGTTGTTGAAAAGTATTGAATATCTAAATCCCAGGACTAATCCCGGGATCCCGGGATTGTGATAACCACATCTCGAAAATTCCGGGATCGTGGAAAAATTAACATCCCTAATCCACACATAAATATAAATACATACATTCGTATGCATAAGCTGATGAGTATGTACCCTGCAGGGAAAGCTACTAGTTGTGAACCAGTATGCTACCAGTTTACCTTTCAGCCTAACTAGCTCGCGTTGTATCCTTTTTTTTAAATATTAGCGACTGGTATTTTTAACATGGCGATATCATAGGAGATGTCAATTGTCCGCTCCTGCATCAGCACCCTACCAGTAGAAATGCGAGTAGCGTCATACCAGTTGACGGCGTAGACTGCCAATTCATCCCCCGCGAAAAGCAACATTATGCCATTTTGTTCCCGGCGCTGCAATAATGGCCAACAAAACAAAGCTCTAGCGCGCTATTCGAGAGATCCGAGTTCGAATCTCAGACAAAGGATTTATTTTTTATTTTTATTTTCTTAATGAATTTTATTTTTATTTATTTCTTTTGCTGTTATTAAATTGTATTGTTTTAAAAAGAAAGAAGTTGTTTTCATAAAATTTTTTTATTGTATTTGAATGTTTAGGTTTTTTCCAATTTTTCCAAATGAAATTAAATTTTAAATTTTTTATTTATATTTAAATTGAAATAACTTTGCGTTAATAACCTCCAAGCGGTCTCTAACCTGAGATCTCATAACCAAAATCGGTAGTACTCACTCGACAACACAGCCGACATTTGTAAGGCGAGCAATTAACTGCATTTTAGTTTTGTTTTGGCAATTGAAAGACTGATCGCATAAGTTTTTCGAAATCGTCGAAGTTTTAGGCCATTGGTTAAGCACGTACTAGTTAATTAACAGGTATTTTTACTAGCTGGTTTGGCATTTCACCATGACGAACTGGTATGACTTCCACATTGAATGCTAGTTTTCTAACTAGAAGTTTCTATCAACTAGTCTATTTTTTATACGATTAACTGGTATAACTATAGTTCATAACAAATTGCTGTGACTTCTATCGCTTAAAATAAATAATAGTTCATGAACTGGGATTTGTGCATACTGGTTCAGCTTTTTCCTGCAGGGTACTACTCAATGGTAATGAAAGACTCAAATTGAGCCATAGGGGAGTAAATGAAAGTTGGATTTATTTTTTATTGCAGATAAAATCACGCCCTTTTTTATTTGGGTGGCGAAATATAATTAAATTCAATTTATCACACATCTGTTTTATAATTAGAGCATGCTTAGGGCAAATTGGTTACGCAGTAGGATGAATCATCTGGCCGTTTGTATGTATATGTAGCTCTTACTTGCTTATGTATGTATATTGCTTGTACACTTTTCGGTCAAAAGTCATGTTAAATGCCTACAGCTGCCTTCTAGGGGGAAAAAAAACAGATTTTGTGCAATAAAATTATTTTAACAGCGCTAATGCATAGTGAATTAGTAAAAGAGTTCGGTAAAATTACATGTAGTTTTTGTTCCATATGCTGCGCCCCAGAGCTTGCTTTAATTTTTAAGTTTAGATTTTCTGCTTTCCTCGAAACTGCGACTGTCACACGAGCAACATTGTGTAAAGCAATATTATGTATTTAATAGACTTTGGTAAAAAATTAATAATAAGTGGTTTGATATGAATATGTATGTATTTTAAAGTTACTAAAAGCTTAAAGTTAAAAGTTTACACTCGGAGTGCCAAGATTAAGTAAACAGCAAAAATTATAAATTTTTACAAGAACAAAACACTTGGATAGAGCTGATCTATAGAAACAAAACCCTAAAAGGATTTGGCAAAGTTATCTCGCTTTTAAAGGATATTGGCGATCAAAATTTGGCTCGTGCAGCCCATCAAAAATTTAAATTCTCATTAGCAGAGTGATATTTGATACTTTTTTCTACTGTATGTATCTTTACGAGATAAGAAGAAAAGCATTAATAATATTTTTAGCATTTAATTAGTACCTACTCCGTACTCGTGTGAAAATTCTATTCTTATATACCGCGAGTACTAGCAAATATGTAGAGAATTTGTTGAAAGTTTTAAATTGTACTTCTCCATCAAATTTGTTTGTCTGACTCGGTTGGTAACTGTTGTTTGAAGAGTTGGAGATTCTTGGATTCTGATGAGATTTCAACACAAATTAAGAAAAAAAATGTGTGCCATCTAAGTTAGGCGTCACTGTGGAAAGTGCCTCAAGGTATACCACCATTTTCTTTTATAGTGAAATCAAGTAAAAACCACACACTCATAACTGCAAATGCTAGACGTTTCACAGAAAAAGCAAGAAGGTGAGGTGCATGCGATGGAAGTACTTATACAAGTTTTGAATATTTCGAGGTCGGAATCTTAGATTTCTGTGCAGTGGGAATGTACTATTTTGCGCTTTTTGACAATCGTTAAATAATATCGCGGAGCCGATTTAGCTGAAAACATACTCACTAATTTCTAGAAATAAATAATTGCCGAACAACAAAACAATGTTTGAAATACCGAAAATATGAAAATTCCAATACTGGGCTCCTAGAGTAGGTATATCGCTGACTGCTCCTTCTTCTTTAATCTGCCACTGTACCTACAATACATACATATGCATGTATGTATAATTATAATTATTTTGCTGCGGTGTCGTGGTTAGTGGTGCGCGCTACCATTCCGCAGGGCCTGGGCCAGTTTCCGACCAACATTAAAAAATAAAATAACGATTTTCGAATAGCGGTCGCCGGGAGGCAATGTCAAACCTTCGAGTGTATTTCTGCCATGTAAAATAGCTTCTGATAAAAATACAATTACCGTATGAAGTCGGCGTAATACTGTAGGTCCGTCCCCTTTGTGTGACAATCTCTAGGCGCACGCCACAAATCGGAGGATAAGCTCGCCCAAACACAAACATATTGTGTAAGGGCCAATGTATAATTGTAATTATCTTTCGTGAGTTTTTCTAAAAAACCTATATGTAGATATAGATATTTAAGTAAATTAAAATTTTAAATTTTTTATTTGCAGATATCTGATGATGATCGAATGAGCTTAACTACGGCCGTATCTGATGAAGATGATGGCGAAAGTGTCATGGCGTCACCATATAAAGCAAAGGCAACTGGAACAGCTGCTTCCTCATTTAATTGTACTGGTGCTGTACGCAAAGCTGGGTGAGTAAAATTTTCGCTGGGTAAAAAATCATTGAATTCGGACAATAACCATGCCTCCTATATGTATTCAAAATGCAAAAACTGCGATTTTTCACTATGTAATCATAATAACTAAGCTTTGATATTTAGAGTAATCTTTAGAAAAAATGTATTAGTTTTAAAAAGGGTTGTTTTTACCACCCACCTATTTAAATATTTTCCAGTAAATGGTTAATCCACTTTTCCCGATTGTGCCACAAAAATTGCACAAAAAAATGTCACCACTCAAATGTTTCAAGGGTTTTAAAAAGACTCATGCTAGGTTAAAAAAATGTTCCGCAAAATTAAATAATATGACACTTAAGAACCAATAAAGGAACTAAATTTTATTATTTAGTATATAACAGGGGCGTAAGAGGGCCAGAACGTCAGTGAAACAAGTAAGAGCAGCGCTGTCTTCGGCTATGCCGAAGGCTTCATACCTTTCATGAACATCTGCAAATTTTACTTTGACAGATTACTGCTTTTGAATACATCTGCATACATCGATAGAGGAGTTACATACTTATATAAAAAATCGCATCTAAACAATCAGAGGTATGGAAGATATACTTTATATGACACCAATCTAAGTGATTTTCACCGCTATGTGATCGGTATGTAAACCGGTAACACAATTTATTGGGTTTAGTTTCGTACATAAAGGAGATATATGGCAAAAACTGGTATCTTAACAATCAGTGCTATAGGAGATAAAGCTTATACAGCATAGATTTTGACGATTTTCTCAGTAGACTTTGTATTATTATTTATAAAATATCTTACGAAATTTATCGGTTTTAGCTGTTCCAATAAAGGAGTTTTACAGTAAAATCCAATATCTGAACAATCAGATGTATGGAAGATATATGTTGTAGTCATCCGATCCTTGTTATTTCCACTGTAAGTATTCTGTTAATAATGAGTGAAAATGGTGCGAAATTTCATGTTCCTAGCTGCATAAATGGAGGAGTTATGATAAAAGACCTCATATCTGAACAATCAGTTGTATGGGGGCTGCAGGTTATAGTGACCCGATCTTTGTTATTTTCGCTGCAAGTCTTCTGTTGATAATGAGTGAAAACAGCGCGAAATTTCATGGTCCTAGCTACATAAATGGATGAATTATAACGAAAAATCTCATATCTGAACAATCAGTTGTATGGGAGCTATAGGTTATAGTTACCCGATCTTTTTAATTTTCACTGTAAGTTTTCTGTTGATAATTATTGAAAACAGTGCGGAATTTCATGTTCCTAGCTATATAAATGGAGGAGTTATAACGCAAAATTTTATATCTGAACAATCAGTTGTATGGGAGCTATAGGTTATAGTCACCCGATCTTTGTAATTTTCACTGTAAGTATTCTGTTGATAATGGGTGCAAGTATTGCAAAATTTCATGTTTGTAGCTGCATAAATGGAGAAGTTATAATGAAAAATCTCATATCTGAACAATCAGTTGTATGGGAGCTATATGTTATAGTGGTCCGATTCTTCCGGTTCCGACAAATGATTAATACATTATAAAAATACACCCACCTACCAAATTTTATCCGGATATCTCGAAAACTGAGAGACTAGATTGCATACAAACAGACAGACAGACGGACAGACGGACAGACGGACATGGCTAAATCAACTCAGCTCGACGTTCTGATCATATAAGTATACATTTTCATGGGTCTATCTCTTTTTGTTCTGGTACTTACAAACATCGGACCAAAGTTATAATACCATTTCATACTCATGAAAGGTATAAAAACGAAGTAGGTTTGAAGTCAAGTGGAGTACAGGAGCAGATTTCAAAAGTTTTTTAAAACCATAATTTTCAATATTTAACGGGTTGCGCTACTGCGAAATCAGCGGGCGCAGCCATATGAATGAAATCGTTTTCCATAGATAATGAAAATGTTTACTCATTCAAATAAACTAATAATTTATATAATGAAAAAATTAATTTTTGTTCTTTTTTTTGATATTTTCAAAAAGAAACCACTATTGAAGTTAATATTTTAGAGCTTGACTAAATTTCAAATTCATTCCTCCTGAACTATAATCGGATTATTTTTATTAAACTGCAAAAAAATTTTCCATATCATTAGTTTCAAAAATATTTCTCATTTTTATAAAGAAGTATATTCCTTGATTATGTAAATTAGTGAGCCTGCACAAAACAACTTGCGCCCAAAGTAGCATTGACATATGTTTTCTACAGGAGTATTACATATATGGTTTTCTAACGCACAAGTTTTGTATTGGCTTGATCTTAGCCACTCAATCTAAAATCTGTAGAGTGTAATGTAATTTAAAAAAATAAATTTCTTTTTTTTATCCCTAACTTTAATTAAGGTAACTTGCTTTTAACCTCGAATTAGGACAATAGTTGATTTAAATATGTGTATATTTTACTGAAAACAAAACATATTTCATTTCAGTTTCTTGTCGGTGAAAAAATGGCTACTCCGCAAAAAGCATCAAATCGAATTAGCACGCAAACGCGGCTGGAAAGGCTATTGGGTTTGCCTCAAAGGCACGACACTACTCTTCTATCCGTGCGATTCACGTGAGGGACGTAGCGTCGAAGCGGCACCAAAACATTTAATTATTGTTGATGGTGCGATTATGCAACCAATACCGGAACATCCCAAACGTGATTATATATTCTGTTTGAGTACAGCATTCGGTGATGCGTATCTATTCCAGGCGCCCTGTCAGGTGAGTGCAAAAATAAAATAGCTGAAATGAATTCCAACACACACACACTCACACACACGTAGTATATACGCTTTACTTCAAACCAAAATAGAAACATCAAAGCAGCACCACATATGCAATCCTGCTACTTTTCATAATAAAAGTTATCTACTATCTATTTAGGGAGATTACTCATTTATAAAATTCCTTTCACATTCAGTTAACCAAAACTATTTTGAGAGCTTTCTTTCATAACAAATATCCAAATACTGGCATATGAATGTAAGTATGTATGTATGTATTTATTATTTATGCCACAATGGAATAGCGTAGCTACAATCCTCAGCGAACGACATCAAAGATCTTAATACGTTTAGTAAAAAAATACAATTCCAAAGCGCGCGCATGTACATTTTTAGCGTGATGGTAAAGTAAATGCGATTTTCATATAGGTATGCAAATATATATCGCATACGCACTTCATAAGACGCACAAGTCAAAAATCAAATCCGGAAATACATACATATATATGCACATACACAACATGGTGACAGGTAATAAGATCAACGGAAATAAGGTCAATTGACTTTATTTCCCACCCTGGTGCGAAATAAAGTCAATTGACATTATTACCTTTTTAAAAACGAAATAAAATCAATTGACATTATTTCTCTTTCAAACATTAAATTTGCTTAGCTTCGCGGCGGCCCGCGTCAGCGCGCCACAACGCGCGCGTCGCGCTCGCGCCCTGCGTACCCCGCGCCACCGGCGCGCACACCACGTCACGCTACGCCGCGGCCCCCCCCGGCCCCTCTTCCCCGTCTCCCGACGTACTGTAACGCAGGTAGATTTATTTTTTGTATACGTTGAAATAAAATTTTTATATATTTTAAACATCGAGGGCTTATATTCAATAATACCCCCTATCTGCACACTTTTCACAAAGATGAGATTCTGATATAAAAATCCACCTAAGCTTTAACTGTCATCAGTGATATTAATGCTACCTTATATAACGACAGGTAATAAGTCCCAGATGGTTTCTAAAATCACAAATTAGTTTTTGTGCAAATTGCAGATAGAGGGTAATAATGAATTCAAGCCCTCGATATTTCACATTTTTATATTTGTAAGTTATTGGAAGCAGGGATGCCAACTTGGCTCAACCCGTGCCATTTGTTCCTATTTTACTTCAAATGGCACTTAATTTTTCAATTTGGCACAAAATGCCAAAATGGCGCTTTTGTAAAAAATAACATTTTAATACATTTTTGTTAAATCCTTTGCGTGCACTTCTTTTTCTCAACTAAAATTTTCTAATTTATAAAGGCTATTCAACTGGTTTATCTTATTTTATCATTGCACTTTTGTTTTGAAAATGTGGCTTTATTTTATTGCTAAATGTGAATGATTAAAAGGAATTACACCTTTTTTGGCACTTTTATTTTTCTATTTGGCACATTTTGGCACTTCCTTTGGCACTATCCTCAATATGGCACCTCATAACTAAGGAGAGTTGGCAGCCCTGATTGGAAGATTTCTGCTGTGTTTTGAGGCAACAACTTGTCTGTAGTAAAAAAGCATATAATTTGTGTTTCAAAAGTGTGTGAAAACCAATCAATTAACTTATATGATCTCGGTTCCGATATTAAATAATCAATAATTGTTTATACACGCATTTTGGCACATTGGCTCGTTGAATGTGCCATCTAATAAATAGTGTCGTCGTTCTCCTTAGCTGCTTTTAAATGACTGCTGGCGGAGACATAAATACAGTGTAAGAAAATTCTTTTTCTATAACTGTTTCCTTATAGAAAGGTTGGGTTCTTTTCCACCTTAGCCATTCCGAATTCGTTCAAAATATGCTCATTTAAAACACAGAATTCTTTGAGTGCTCCTCCGGGGTTTTTGGACATGTACTGTGTCTTCAATTTAATAGTGTTCGCTTTATTTTTGTAGAAACGAAAAATGTTTTGCAAGTTATGGATCATTTCTCCACTCTTTCTTGAAATATTTCTCGTATTCCAGCTGTGCGCAGGCGTTTAGTTCTTCGCATCGCCTTTTTACATATTCGTAATTTAAATTATTTTTTAATAGAATAAATTGGTGATAGTTCATGATTGTGTGTGGATTAATATCACAACACTGAGGATTTGGCAAAAGCCTTCTTCATCTATTAAAAAACAACACTTACGGGGCAATGTTTATTGTAAGAACAACATTTTTTTCTATGAATCGACATACTTTAAGCATTGTTGACGCTATTTCCATTTGAATGAGGAAATAGCGTCAATGACTTTATTTCCAAATTTTTGTTGACTTTATTTCGATTTTGAAAAGGTAATAATGTCAATTGACTTTATTTCGCACCAGGGTGGGAAATAAAGTCAATTGACCTTATTTCCATTGACCTTATTACCTGTCACCACACAACATAGCACGGACATAGGAATTTATGTACCTACTAATGTTCATACCCAGCAGTCAAGCATTGAATTTGGTATGTGAAAATTATCTGATCGATGAATTTGGTTTGAATGGACAGAAACGCTCCAGCTCTGAAAGTATTCAACGCGATGGTGGTTACGCGTGGTTCAAATGCCTACAGCGCATGGTCGAATAGAGATTTCGCCTTTTCGAAACTTTAGAGCGCTTCAAGCAAGTGAAGTAAAGCTGTCATTTGGCCAACTTTCATATATTTTAGTGAGTGGCGCCCTCATGGGTATTGTATTGTAGGGCTCTGGACTCATCCGTTAAAGTAGTTCTCGATTGATCTACAGAAGCACATGCGACAATTTTATATTAAAAATTTAACAAATCGCTACCTAAAGGTGAAAAGGTGCCAAGTCCACATTTTTTCAAAATTTTGTTTTAGATGCAGAATGACAGATAATGCGAAACTACATCGATTTTTCGTCTCTCCTGAATAATTTCAAAAAAATTGACTTGGCACCTTTCACCTTTAGGTAACGAAATATCGATCACTTGAATAAGAAAAAATTTCAAAATTTAAACATCCGAAATGTATGCATAGTTAATGTATACTCATGTAAAGTATACACATTTGAATTAATGCCGACCAAAAAAAATAAAGTAAACTCTCCTCTTATTTCACTACATTTTAAATACTACTTATTTGAAGCGTCCTTTTAAGTCGGACGACTGACTCTGTAAATACATTTGTACTTGTATGTACATTTTCCTCGCTTTTATGTTTTTTGAATACATACATATGTATGTATATTTTTGTGTACATCGAATTCCTTCAACAATATTTGCCGCCATTTCAGTTTAGCAGTCACGAGCTGCACGTACTTTTACAACTGCTTTGCGACCCTGCGAAATACGTTTACGAACGCTCCGTTACACACACTCTAACGAGGCGAAAAAAACCAATAGCTATGCTAGCATAATAGCAAAATCGTCACATGACTTGAATTCAATTTCCATTGCAGAGATTTAGGAAAAAAAAACTACATATTGCACTTCAAGGGCGCACCCAGGAAAATATTTTTGGTAGGTGAGGAGGGGTTTTATACAATTAAAGACATTCACGAAAAAATACTGAAATTTCGCTACAGATACTACCTTCTTTAAATGTATTTATTTTTACATACACATAGTACACCAAGAAAAAATAAACATGATTTTTTCAAAAATAAACCGTTTTGGGTTTTCCATGTTAGCGATTTGAAATTTTTGAAACGGAAAATTATTTTTAGGGAATTTAACTTTTGTGATGTGCAGGAAGTCCCAGGTTCGAATGCCGTCAGATGCAAAATGTTAAAATGATAATAAAAATTTGTTTTGTGTTTCCGCGCTATATCAAGACGATCAGGCAAAATCTTAGTGGAAGCGTAGAACCGTCTTCAAAAGAGTCACAACTCAGAATTTGGCATTTTTGAAATTATGCGCTAAAAATGTACACAAAAAGCTTTTATTTACCTTTCAGCAAAAGCTTGAGGAAGTTTTTATTATAATTTATTTAAAAAAAAAAACCTAAGGTAAAGTCGCCCTTGCCCATATGATTAGCATGTGCTACGAAATAGTTTTTCGCATTTTCTGACAAATATTTACATTTTTTATATCTTAAGCTTCCCGCTAAATACAAACACCTTCATGTGCTCGATAGTCTACATTTGTAGCATATTTTTTGCATAAATAAAAGATGTCCGATAAAACCGTCTCGGAGGCTTTCAGCTTCCTTTTAAATATATATATTTCAAGCAATTTTGGCTATTAAGAAAAAAACAAATTTTTCAGAAAGAAAAAGCTGCGTAAAATTTAAAAAATTAATAAAATTTTTGGTATGGAAGGAGGAAAAAGATATTGAAATTATCCTTTCAACTTTCCTAGTTAAGGATACCAAAAAATTGAAAAGGATATTTTAAATACCTATTTGCCGTTGGGCACCAACAAATTTAACATTTCTCAATTCTACAAAATTTTTCAAGAAATTTTCTCTTTTACTTGCTATCTATACTGTTATTCTAAATCATACTGAATTGTTTTAATTTATCATATCCTTGAAATTTCAAAGTCCTTTGAAACAAATCCTGACGTCAGGGAAAAAAACTGAAAAAGTAGATAGCATTACTAATTTCGTGAGTGAATTGATTGTTTAGTGAGTTTTTAAAAACTTTGATTTTTGTTGCTGGCTGTAATAAGTATGGAAAGTCACATCCCTTTTTGCCAAAAAAAATTTGTCTGCCTGTCGAAACATGTTCTTTTTTTTGTTTACTTGCATATCGACACCTGAGTGGAAAATCGACCTATCTCATCAGTCAGTTCGAGAACGCCCTATCTCAGAAAACGTTTCGAAAACGCCCTATTTCAGAATTTGGTTGAAGACTATATCTCAGCTGCCGATTCAAAAACGCCCTATATCAAATGAAAATGTATTGATAACTTGGTGAGATAAGGCGTTTTTGAATCGGCAGCTGAGACAGGGCTTTCTTCAACCAAATTCTGAAATAGAGCGTTCTTGAAAAGTTTTCTGAGATAGAGCGTTTTCGAACTGG